CCCCCCCCCCCCCCTTCCCCGGCGGTACGTACACACCTACTGGACTCCGTTCCTCCCCTGCACGTCGTCTGTTATTTGCCTCTTAATTTCCAACAAGCTTTATTGCAAACTCACAAAGCCAGATTGCGGCACATTGATTCACCGCCGGACCCTCTCCTACCCCAACGCATTGATCTCCAAAGGGGCTTAGTCATGACCAAGCCCTTAAGGGGAAGAAACGCGTCGAGTAGGTCTGGCGGTGAAGCAATGTGCTACAATCTGGCTCTGAGAAACATGCACAGTGGAAATAGTGTGTGTGTGTGTGTATGTGTGTGTGTGTGTGTGTGTGTGTGTGTACGTGCGTGCGTCAAACCCCTCTACCACCCCACAAAGCCAGGCCAGTGACACTGTTTTTTAGGGTTGAAGCTTTCTGTGACACCTGTCAGATAAATGGATTATGGTGTGAGAACGTACCCGTTACCTCCCGCAGGGTCCCGCGCCGCCGGGTGGTCTCCTTATGCAGCCAGACACTGGGCGCGTTGCACCCTGCAGCGCCGAGCCCGACGGCTGCTGTGTGTGGTGACCGCTTGTTCTGTCGTCCAGAGCCACGCAGGAAGAGGCACGCACAAGCACTGGATCGCCTCTTAAAGGGACAGTGCACGCCTCTGGAAATGACATCATCTCATCTCCAACAGGTATATAAGCAAGAAGGGCGAGTCATTCTGTGCTTGGTTATTGGGAAGCTTGTTCTTAGAGTACCTGGTGTTATACCGGTTTCTGAGTCCTGTCACCAACCCCTGGCCTGTTCCGTGACCCAGATACTTTGCTGCCTGCACCGACCTCTGCTACGTTCAACGACTTCAAATTCCGGATTGTGATTCTGCTACCGTGCTCTTGGACTGCCCCTGTACTGGCAACCACTACGCAGGAGATTGTGCGTTATCCTATTGTACTTGAGTAGAGGTACCAATCATACTGACAAGCCCCCCGCGTCTGGGCTCCTACCATCACCAACCTGATATACGGGTAGGTATTAGCACAACGCTGGGGTCCGACCCGGGCCCCCCTTCTCTTGTAACGTGCCCACTTATCTACGTCTCTTCCTATACTGATGAGCGATATTGTTCTATTGTAATCATCTGAAGACTCTAGAACAGAAATGTCATATATTGCATCTTTTCAGTCCAGTCGGAGTTGCTGACACAGAACAAGTGAAGTCCGGTGTTCATTGCGGGTCAGTGACTGAATAAGTTCCTTGTATAGAAGTCAGACACGTCACTTCCCTCCTATGTTGCAGAGACAGTATAACACGACTCACCTTCGTTCTTCATCTTGTCGAAGTAAGAGAGCTTGGAGGCCGCGTAAATGGATTTTGCAGTCTGCAGAGCTCCAACCACAGCGTTCATGAGGAGGACATTGGTGAGAGCCTCCTGAACGTACTGAGGATCCTGAATATGATAGAAGAGCGAGTCTGAGAGACACACAATAATAATAATGACCGTATGTATGTGACAATGTATACTGCTACAGCAGGAATGGGAAACCTAAACCTGTAACCCTAACACTAATCCTCCCAGTAATCCTAACACTCCATGTAACCCCAACACTAACCCTCCCTGTAACCCCAACACTAACCCTCCCTGTAGCCTCAACACTAACCCTCCCTGTAATCCCAACACTAACCCTCCCTGTAACCTCAACACTAACCCTCCCTGTAACCCCAACACTATCCCTCCCTGTAACCCCAACACTATCCCTCCCTGTAACCCCAACACTATCCCTCCCTGTAACCCCAACACTATCCCTGGGTTAGTGTTGGGATTACACTAAATGCCTCAGCACCAAGAGTCCCACCATGCTTGGCCAGCCTACAATGAAATGAATGGCTGAATACAATTCCATTTTCCAGTGGAGCAGACCTAGGCAATCCGTAGCCGGGACCACCACTGAATATTCATCTAACCATGTGACAGGAAGGTCCTTACCTTGTGGTTGTCTGCCATCTTCCTCCCCGCCCACATCTCTTTGATCATCAGGTTCCACAGCTCACATTCACCTTTTAGATTTGCATCAAATGAGTCTTTCCTGGTAGAAGTCTTAATCCTGAGGGTTGGAATCCGTAAGAGCAGGAAGGCCGACATTGAGACTTTTACATCCTGGAGAACATGGGACACCGTGAATCAAACAGCTACATACACATTGGATATTACTATACCCGCCAAACTATTTGTAACTCTGTTCAGCCACAATTGTGAATCACACTTCCTCTCTGCATAGTCAACTTCCTGATGCTACTCCCCGTGTATTAGAATAGATATGTTATATGTTATGTGTATAGATATGTTAATAGATAGGTTTCCTAAACTCCCCCTTCCAGCCCCCCAGTGCCTGAAAACATGTTGGATTAGCAGCCCTGTGCATACATAAAAGCCCCCTGTCCAATCAAAGTGTCCTTAAAGGCCAGTATGAAAGTCATCTAAAAACTGGTCCATACATTTCCTGAGTTGCCATCACCTGTGATGGGATGGATTATATACTGGGCCAGATGGACCATTAGGCACAGGAATGCTGAGCCTATAGATGGTAAAGAAGTGGCTTTCTTGGCCAACCATTTCCCCTTATGGTTAGCCATAGTCGTCTCGTATAAGCTTATTTACGCAATATTCTAAGCCAGGTTGTGTAAAGAGGTGACCCCAGCAGTTGGGGGTTGCTTGTGACACCAAAGGGGGAAGGACTGGTTGGAGGGCTAGGGTGCACACTAGCGGATGGAACATGTCAGTGGTTTAACCATGAGACTCACGACTCTACTGCTGTCCCACACCAAGACTTGGCCCACATTCCCTGAGCATGAAGATATGGACCATGACATTAGCAGAGATTAGGACTACCCATGGAAGCTGAAGGAGCACCTTCCGGAGGAGTATGCCTATGTGGCCAACCACTATCCACATGTCTATTGCCAAGAGCCGATATCTCCAGACACTTGGTGGTATCATTGTGTGCTACAACATGGCAGAAGTAAAGGCATCATGCGCATCATTTGGCTTTGTGGAAGGACATTCAGACCTATTGAGTGCTGGTATTGACCTTGATGTCTCTTGTGTTTTGACCGTAATACGTCTGACTGTGTATTGCGCTGCTTTTGTGGAAGAATATCTAGACGCTATATACAGGTTTGTAATCAACACAACCAGTATTTATATGTTTTCTTGTTGATTGAATCTGGGCTGCGTTACCCCTGGGCTGGGCTGCGTTACCCCTGGGCCACTACCAATTAGATATGTTGGGTTGGTGGCACTGAGTGGAAATACTTCACAATTCATATATTGATCAGAGCGGGACCTGCAGTCAATGACATACTAAGCAATGTATAGACAGGCTGCCACCCCTCAGCATAATACAGCAAACACCCCTCCCCACAAAAAAATAAACCTGACCCCCCCACCAGCTCAATAAACAGGACCCCAATGTTATATGTTGAAGTTTATGTTGAGCTCTCACCTCTATATTTCTAAATGCGACGATCTCCTCATAGCTCTGCCTGCCCTCTATCAGGAGGAAGAGTCTCTTCTGAGTCATGGCGATCTTCCCCACCCCCAGGTTGGTTTTCACCGAGCTGGACAGCTTGTACACGAACTCATTCTGGTCCAGCTTCTCGGTGACTATGGACGGCAAGTCAACCTCTTCCGCCTCTGCCTCCGTCTCCTTCCAGTAGTTGTAGAAATCTCTGAAGATATCAGGATCTATCTGCTTCTGGTGACCTTCGGAAGACAGGCAGGGTGAAACCGAGTTAGCTTATGAAACAATTCTCTTAGCTAGAGCTAGATGCTGACTATTTCATAATTAACAGCTTTAAACATAGAGAACCCTTTCCATATGCCGAGGAACCCTTTCCATATGCCGAGGAACCCTTTCCACATGCAAAGCAACCCTTTCCACATGCGGAGGAACCCTTTCCATATGCTGAGGATCCCTTTCCATATGCCGAGGAACCCTTTCCACATGCAAAGCAACCCTTTCCACATGCGGAGGAACCCTTTCCATATGCTGAGGATCCCTTTCCCACATGCGGAGGATCCCTTTCCCACATGCGGAGGATCCCTTTCCCATATGCGGAGGATCCCTTTCCCACATGCGGAGGATCCCTTTCCCACATGCGGAGGATCCCTTTCCCACATGCGCAGGAACCCTTTCCCACATGCGCAGGAACCCTTTCCCACATGCGCAGGAACCCTTTGCACATGCGCAGGAACCCTTTGCACATGCAGAGAAAACCTTTCTATATGCAGCGGAACTCTTTCCACATGCGGAAGATCCCTTTCCATATGTGGAGGAACCCTTTCTATATGTGGAGGAACCATTTTCATATGTGGAGGAACCATTTCAACAGCCAGAGAATCTAGAGGACCCCTTTCCACACCCAGAGGAACCCTTTCCATATTTGCTTTGTCCCTTACCTACAGTTAAAGCATCAAACAAACGGTGTATCGTGTCAATGTCTTTCACAATCCCCGACTCTTGGATCCGGCGCACAAAGTCCTCTAGGTGCAGGTGGGTACTGGGAAGCTTAAACTTCTTGACGTGGTCGTCAGCCCTGGGGACATCCCTCTCTTTATCCAGCACCTGACTAATCAGCCTCTTCAGCTCCTGCCGGTTCTCAGCTTGTTGGCGTTCAGACGCCGGCAGCGACAAGACGACTTTTCTGACTAATTCAGCGGGGAAGATCCGCAGGTCCGTCTTATACAGGTTCTGGAAGTCGGAGAGAGCGCTGAGGAGCTTTCCCTGCATGAGAAAGACCAACCCCCGGAGGTAGAAGTATCGAGCCAGAAGAACCGAGTTCTCTGCAGGAAGACAAGTTATCTCCTTACTGAGGAAATTGGTCAGGTCTATGTAATACGTCTGAACGCATTGCCGCATCAGAGGATAATGGACCAGAGGCAGCCTGAAGGTGTAAAATGATTTTCCGTTCAGTCTGTTTCCTGTAGAATAAGGAAGAAAGTATGAGTGCAATGTCCAGTAACCTTCATAGAACCCCATACGTCCTTACTGATAAAACAAACAAATACCTTCTGTTCTGAGAAGGCTTTACTCTGCTAGTCTCTGAATCGGTTGGAGGGCTTTTTGATTCCTTTTCACCATAACCATTATGGCACATATGTCAAAACACAAGGTCCGTGGGCCAAATCCGGCCCACCAGATCATTTAATGCGTCTCCCGCAGCTTTACATTTTTAAACTGAAGCCTGCGCTCTAAACAGGCGCTGGGCTTCACAGGAAGCGTACCGAGGTCCCCAGCAAGGTCCCGGCAGCCTTCCTGTGAATAGTGGCACCTGTTTACAGCACCAGCCAAAAATCTCCTTCCTGTGGATCCATGCCACCCACCGTGACTGACCGGAACCCCTAGTGGAGACTGCACAGCCCTCCTTAGACCCTGCACAGCCAAGTATAGACCCCACACAGCCACCTGAGAGTCTGCACTGCTCACCATAAAACCTGCACAGCCCACCACAGACCACGGACAACCTACCTTACAGTCCGCACAGCCCCGAATACACGCCCCCCGTACCGCCTGCCGGAGAGTCCACACAGCCCAGCATAGACCCCACACAGCTACCAGAGAGTCCACACAGCCCTCCTAAGACCCCGTACAGCCACCTGAGAATCCACACAGCTGAGTTCTGCACAGCCCAGCATAGACCCCACACAGCCACCTGAGAGTCTGCACTGCTCACCATAAAACCTGCAAAGCCCACCATAGACCCCACACAGCCCCCCGAGAGTCTGCACACCCCGGCAGAGACCCCGCACAGCCCACCTGAGTTCTGCCCAGCCCAGCATAGACCCCGCACATGCCACCTGAGAGTCCGCACAGCCCAGCATAGACCCCGCACAGCCCCCTGAGAGTTCGCACAGCTTTTTGGAATTACAAATCCCCAGGCTTGAGCATTGCTAAGTGTTTGGTATCGGTATCTTCACAGGACCTTCAGTTGGGATGGGCAGTACAGAGAACTCAAAATGTTATAGTACAGCACCTAATGTTGCCTGTCACCTGGCAGCATCCTTTGTTTATGTGTTTTTACCAGAGCACTGGTTTACAGGTTTAGTCCTCCATCCTTACCATTCAGTGTCTGTGACCTCCTCAGAGATTGCGGCCTCAGTGGTAGTTCGGCCAAACTGACGTCCTGCAGGTTTGGCATACTGATGACCAGCTTCTTGCTGAACATGTGCTCAGGGCGAAAACGCTTTAACTTCTCTGTGGCTCTCCGTCTCTGGTTTTCAAGTATACTGGAATGTCTGCAAACACAAGGTGTGTTACCAGCTTCTCTCCACAAGGGGGCAGTCTGCTACTATTATCAATCAGATGCAGGCAAACGGTTCACTGCTGCTAAGATGACCTCACATGTCCCTAAGGCCTATGTTTGCTTTGGCATACTTATGCCTTTAGCTCCTAAAAAATCTGGAGGGTTTCAGGCTACCTACAGATCATCTACAACAGCTTTTCTCAACCAGGAATCCTCTTGAAGTTGCTAGGAGCTCCTTGAGCAATGGTAAATTGGTCTCCTACTAGGGATTCACCGACACCGGTTTTTCGGTATCGAGTACCGATATTTATATTTCGATACACGCCGATACCGGTACTTTCGGTAGCATAGAGCCGGCTTCCTGGGCAATCGGGAAGCGTGTCATTACCCACCGCCCGGCTTCTTAATTTCCCGGGAAGCTGACTGCATTCTGTTTGGCCGGCTCGATGCCGATTGGCTGGGAAAACTGCATCCCAGCCAAACCGGCATCGAGGCCGGCCAAACAGATCTGACAATATGGTGACATGACCCCCACCCTGCAGGCACCTCATTCCCCTCACATAGATCCTTAGCAGCAGTCATTACCGTACCAGTCATTCGGCCAGCTGAGCAGACATCGCTCTCCAAGCTCTCCCGAATCTGCCCACGTCTCCTGTGTGCACAGCGCCCATGTGATCGGCCCTCAGCCGGCTACTGCACATGCGCAGACTGCCCAGCGCTCTCATTCAGAAATCCTGTGCATGCGCAGTAGCAGGCTGAGGGCCGATCACGTGGGCGCTGTGCACACATGAGACAAGCTTGGAGAGCGGTGTCTGCCCAGCTGGCCGAGGGACTGGTACAGTAATGACAGCTGCTAAGGACCTGTGTGAGGGGAATGAGATGCCTACAAGGTGGGGGTCGTGTCGCCATATTATCAGATTTGTTTGCCCAGCTCGACACTGATTGGCTAGGAAACTGGCTTCCCGGCCAAACAGCATGGAGCCAGCTTCCCGGCTCCATGTTACCTCACGGCACTGCCAGTCAGAGGAAATCTCCCTCTGACCGGAAGTTCCAGTATCGGGGAAGGTATCGGAGCATTTGGGCGAGTACTCGCCCAAATACCCGGTATCGGTACATTCCTATCTCCTACCTATACTGACCACCAATGCAAGGGGGCACTTCTAAATTGTTTTCTAACCACTGTTAGAAAAACATCACAAATTTTATTGTCTGGTTTTTTTTTTCTGTTACTTTTATTCATTTAATTTCACGATTATTGCCAAAAATTTTCCTGCACAGAGCAAATGGTGTAAAAAAAACAATCTGCTGGGCGTGCCATATAACTTATTCTCATGTATAAAGCATTCTAGAACTTAGTGACAAAGTACCGCAAACTGCAGGGAAATTTATTTTAAAGGAGAACTATGGGGCCAGGGCTAATCCCCATAGTTCTCCTTACGGTAATGGGAGGACACAAACTAGCGTCCTCCCGTCACCCTAAGCTCAGTATACCGCGAGCCACAGCTCGTGGTATACTGAGATGCCGCAGCCGGAGCGGATCCAGACATCGATGTCGAGATCCGCCCAGCTGCGTGAGTGACAGCTGGCTCTGCCTATCTAGAGGCAGAGCCAGCTGTACCCGCCCCGTCCGTTCCACCAGTCAGCACTGGCGGATCGGAGCTGGGAGGGGGGAATCCATCCCCTCCCCTGTCACGGCAGAGAGCCGTGGCACGATCGAGAGGTGAGCGAACGCCGGTATGTCACAGGTCGGCTAGAACTATGAGGTGAGTGAAAAGCACTCACCTCATACTTCTCCTTTAAGCAGTGTATCACCAAGACCAGACAAATATTTCAAGGGCCAGGTGGAAAAATGTACAGAAAGGTTGATCTACACCATTGTAGCACTAAGGGTGGTATCATGTTGGGATTGTAGTCCATTCGCAGCATGCATACAGACTGATGTCCATTATTTCTGGGAACCTACGTTTATGAACAGAAATCTGAAAGCCTGTTGGGCACACACAAGCAGATCCTCCATCTAAAAATATAAATTGCAGTTCTAAGAGTGCCATGATATTTACTTATATCCTAATACAAAGAAAAGTCCAAAAGAAGCTAAATACCTCATAAAGTGGGAGTTCAGTAACAAAATGACCAAGGACTTGGCGGTCTGGAGACACTCATCTCAGTAAAGACAATAAGAAGGTGACAAAAATTCTAACCCTTTCTTATGCTATCCAAAATAAAGTCGGCCAGATCTGGCCTTTAATACTTTACCCATCAATTTCAGAGGACGCGTCCATCTCCATCTGGGTAAAGGCGTCCATTTTTTTGTTAAGACGAGCTTTAAGAAATGAGTTGAACAAGTACGTCTCTAACACCTGCGGAGCAAAACACACAAGCCACTTAGCCGATTCTTATTCACCAGAAGGCACAAAAAAGCTTTTAGTAAATCTGTGGACAGGCGATGGACATAATATTTAGTAAGGTTTAAAGCAAGACTTTACTGTCCTCTGTAGCTGCACCCATTGTGGAGAAATTCATTCTCTGGCTGTCGTTGGTTTTTACTTGGCAGCTTTCTAGACCCCTAAGATTAATACAGACCAGACCCTCTGTACTCACTGTATTAGAGGGCTGCTAGGAGAGAGAGAGAATAGTAAACTAAAGCTGGTAAGAAACCAACTAGAACCCAAACTACAAATCCTTTCTGGAGCAATTCATCCTCAAACTTTATAACAGTTACAGCTGCAGCTACAGAGGTCAGTAAGGGCTTGACTTAAAGTGTACTTACTGCTTGTGAGGAACATGTAAATACTTGAATGGCTATGGCCTGGTGTCAGCGAAACTCCCGCTCTGGGCATGCGCAGCGGAGAACAAACACGCGCAGGCGCAGCCGAGAACAAATACGCGCAGGCGCAGCTAAGAACAAACACGCACAGTCGCAGCCGAGAACAAACACGCGCAGGCGCAGCTGAGAACAAACACGCGCAGGCGCAGCTGAGAACAAATACGCGCCAAGAGGCGCACAGGAAGTTACATCATAGATGGATTCACTACCCTATTTAAGCCCAGCTCAAACGCCCACTAGTTGCTGGTTTGTCTTGTCAGCTTGATCGTGTTCCTTGTCTCCCGTTTAGCCTTCTCCTGTATATACCTGATTCCCCTGGATTTGACCTGTTCCTGTGTAAACGACCATCCTTGCTTGCTGCCTGCCTTTTGACCTCGGACTGTTTTGGATATTCTTCGGCCTGCTCCCTACTTGTACTGAATTGGATTTCATGGCTTTTGACCCCGGCTTGTTTTGACCTCGATTACTGGACTTTCCTAAAGGACTCGTGCCTCTCCCCGTCTGCCTGGCCTTTGTCCTCAACCTCAAAGGTCACAAGACACGAGGTGCAAGAGAAGCCTCCTCTCACTTCGGCCTCCCTACCAGGTACGTGATACCTGGCCACAGGTTCACTTTAAGTTCAGGAACATGAAGCAAATTTAAACTCAAAAACTAAAATATATTGCAGCTTGCCAATCCCTAAGGCCCCATTCACACTGAGCGATTTTTGCTGCGATATCGCTCATATTTCCACGCGATATCGCTCTATGTAGCTTCTCCAATCCATTTCAATGGAGCTGTTCACATCTCGCCGCTCAATATCGCTTGTAGCTCGTCGCTGTTGCTTGTCGCTCCTACATGACCCTTTTTTCTGTGGATTTCGTGCGATTTTGCTCCTGATTGCATACAGCCCAATAGGGACAAGTCGCGCAATATCGCACATATAAAATCGCGCTGAAAATCGAGCGATTTTCATGTCGCTCAGTGTGAATGGGGCCTAAATGTGGTGGCCGTATGAGTTTTTTTAGACTTTTTTTTCATGTATTTTCACCTGGTGATCCAGCCAGTAACACTTCCTGTCTAAAGGTGCCCATACACCTTACAATTATCTGCAGATTTTCTGTGGTCAGAGGGAAAAAGTGCAACAGATTGGCCCAGGTGGAGATTACTCCATCCACACAGTTAAGTGTAGATGGAGGAATCTGTTGCACCTTTTCCATCTGACCATAGAAAATCTGCAGATAATTGTAAGGTGTATGGCCGCTTTAGGGTGGCTCTACTCTGTGGAGGAGAAATGAAGCCACCCTTGGACAGCAGCATCGTCACCCTGTGGAGAGGGTGGTGTTAGATGGACTAGAAGATTTACATTGACGTGACTGACAAATCAAATCCAGCTAACACTTTTTAAGGACTAACAGGTTTTTTTTCCCTTTTAAAATAAAAGGCTTTATATATTTTAATAAAAGCTGATCATAGTAAGCACCCCTGTCAGTGGTAAATGGTTTGTCCCAACCCCTCTATCTGACACTTTTGCTGGACAGCTCGGCCTGTTGAATGATAAGTTCACCTTTTGCAAAAATTAAAGAAATGCATCATTAATAATACAGACAGTCCCCGGGTTACATACAAGATGGGGACTTTAGCTTTGTACATACGTTGAATTTGTATGTAAGTTGGAACATGTACATTTTTTTAAGTGTAACTCCAGCCAAAAAAACATTTTTTAGTTTTGGATAGCATAGGAAAGGGTCACGTCTGTTTTGCTGTCTGTTACTGTTGTTCAGAAGATTATAATCTAATAAAGACATTTTTTATTTAAAATGACACACCAAAAAGTTTTTTTCTTTTTTTTATTTGTTAGCATTTTTTATTTTTATTTCTTTAACTTTTTTTTTTTTTACTTTTTTTGTCTTTTTAAATAATTGTTTTAAACTTTTTTTTTTTTCATTTTATTTTTATTTTAATGCTCTGAGCCATACCCAGCATGCTATTGGATATTTCAAATTGCAATAGCAGGCTGGCTATTGCAGCTGCTCACAGCCTGCTGTCAATCAGCAGAGGAGGGGCCTGAAGGAACCCGGAAGACGGATGCCGGCATCGGCCAGAGGAAA